AATCCATTGATCCCAGTCCAGTCCAGTAGGTGGCAGTAATGCATCTGAAATTYGTGAGCAATCAGAAGAAGAAAACCAGTCGTCTCTTACGTGTTCTGACTGTTGGACTTACTGACCTCAGGACAGAAGCTGTGGACTTTTATCTGCTTACAACGAGCGGCATGCGGGTTCTCCTAAACACTGCAGGGGTGGTCGGTTCCGTGGTGGCCGGTTTTTTTCTGTTTTCCCTCATGTCTCCGAGAGAAGAGGTGGTACGCAAGGTAATTCTGTCTGTGTGTCTGTTTATTTTGTTGTGGACTTCGTGAAAGCTGCTCGCGCACAAACAACTCGAAGGCTGTTTATCCACTAAACTAAAGAAACTGGAGAGTCCGACCCAGTTTGTGCTTTGGTTTGTCATGTTTCCAGAGGATCTTGAACGCATCGCGCTCATCCACTGAAAACCACGTACACCTCGCTGCAGCAAACAGTAGGGGGCGGTGTCGGACCCGTTGTCCTCTTTCAAACAAAACAAGAAGTAGACACGAAGAGGAGAATTAAACATTACAAACGAGCAAATAAATCAGTACCACAATGCAAGTTTAGGAACATTACATYATACTTCATTAATACATTTTCATTACCTGTTACAGTTTATAAATGAGAGGTTTTAACAGCCTGGCCTGTGGTTTTAGTCCCTTAGATGTGAAAGCAGACCCCCACCTAGTGGGCTGATAAAGAATGAGTTGATGCTCTGATGGGTGTTAGTGAGGTTTATAAAACACCTGCTTCAGATACAAGATGATCCACTGTGGTCGAGCAGGACGCCATCCTGTSAGGGGTGGGCTGTCAGTCTGACAATTATGGATAGATTTCTGAGAAAGTTACACATAATTAGGACATTTTGTCCACTTTTTCCAATCATTAATTCATCATGGAGGAAACTCCACTTTAATCCAAGAAATTATTCAGTCTGAAAAAGGAAATCCCAGATAGCAAGAAAAATGAGTGTAAATATGAAATGTAGTATTCATTTAAACTGCTGCTATAAAAGATAATGCATGGATTATTCTAATTTGTTCAAATAATAGTAAGGCACATTTTCCCTGTCTTACTAAAGACAAGATGAAGGAAACGACTGTCATGAAATTTAGAAATAAAAATGTAAAAATTAAATACAAATTAAATACAAACTGTGATAAAGTTTTATTGTACATGAATATTTATGTATCAGGTTTACAAAACAGCAGCTTATTACATTTTGTAAATATTGTCATAAATCATTCTTTAATGCAAAAATCTTCATGCCATGGGGGTGACCTATACAGCAATAGAAAATGAAATTTATAATAAATCCTTCATATATAAAGGATATAAAATGATGAAATGAATCAATGAACTTTTATCAATATATACAAGTTGTCATTTATGCTACTATGCAGTTAGTACTGTGTACTATGCCATTAGTACTTGTGTACTCTGCAGTTAGTACTGTGTACTGAGGTATGTCAGTATGCATTCAAGCTGATGACCCACAGTTTGAACATTTATCATTACTGTAGTAAATTATATATTTTAATTGTATATTAATGAACAACAATTATATTTCCAATTAAAATTTTGACCAAAATGAATTACAATTCATTGTTTATGACCACTAAAAATGATTGTTTTGGTTAGCCTC